AAATCGAAGCTATGATGACCAAGATAGTTTGGCCCTCGATATGGTCTCAGTCTCTTTTCGATGTGGGTTGAGCGTGTAACCGTTTCGGCAGAGCGTTGATCGAGTGATTGACTTTATCTTTCCTGGCGAGTTTATTGCTTGGTTCGGAGGATGGCCAGACTCATTGATGATGCCGACTACGATGTCGGCGAAACATCCGCGGATATACTAAATCCAGGTTCCGATGCTGGGAATCGTAAGAACTACTTTGACACAGGACTTCGTACAAGGTGAATTCCACTAAGTCACCCTGACAAGACCAAGTTAGGAAAGTCAACCCACTTTAATAAGAGTAGGGTTATGCATAAAATCGCACAACTTTTATTTCGGCAATAAAGAAAATGACGAAATTTATGCTACTTTCGGTAAAAACTTATAAATTTGCCAATTAGAGGAATTGCTGAGAATTCTTGTGAAAGAAATATGAATAAGTTTCAATGTGATTCCGATCTACACAAATATTCCAGTTCAGACGGCCTTTCAGACTCTAATGCTCACCCTGGATAAGCAACCAGGAATAACGGAGGGAAGTAAGTTGAGTATACCCTCAATTGCAAGGCTCCTTAACTTAGCCATGAGTAGCATTTGATGTATCTTTGACAATATGTTTTATGAACAAACTCAAGACTTCGCAGTGTTTTCTGGCTTAGTTCCAGTTTTGGCGAATAACTACACGGCAAAGTTTAATGAGCGCTTAATGCAAGAGGTAATTGTGACTCCTAAATTGTTTATTAGATATATGAGTGATTATTTTGTGATCTGGCAACATACAGTTTAGGACCGGAGGTTGAATCACTTCACATTACTATGAGCTCCCTTAGCCTTTTCTCTTACCTGACAATTTAGGTTGGACGGCAGTTACAACCTAACTTGACTTCCATCAGTAGCGTTTAATTTCCATATTTACGACTACACACAAGCTATCTGAATTGCTTCGCAAGTGGTCAATATCAAATACCTAATCGGATTAATGATGTTTTTTTATGCATTTTCTAACCTAACGCTTATCTCTCTTTATTCTTATCTGCTTTAAAGTTGGACATGTGAATGGCTGAGGAATCATATAAATCAATTAGCCTTTGTTAAACTTAATATATCGGGACTCCTTTCCGTTTTACCCTTCTCGATCATGTACCTAAATTTGTAGCTGATCTCCTTTTGTGAACCTTTAACATAATTTCTGGTCCTCTTCAGCTCCAAAGTCCACCCGGTTTGTTAAAGTCAAGACATCCGTAACTATCTCAGACACCGACTCCAGTTCCAAATTGTCGTCAAAAGGCTCGAATCAGCCAGTGATCACTGTGCGCGCTCATACAACCAATACTGCAAAAAGTGGCATCCCTGCCGACGGATACATCCCAAATGTGCTGAAAATTTCGACAGAGTTGAATAAACCCCATCTGGCTGACGAAAACATGGAGGAGACGGAAACACAATCAGCAACTTTGCAGGAATCAGAGGAAGACCAACAAGAAAATGCAAAAGAATTCCAAGAAGTGTCAGAAGAGACAAAACAACAACTACAGCGAACACAATCTGAAGCTGCCTTGATGTACGGCAACATGGCCATGACTAAGGACTGCATCACAGTGTTAAGCTTGCAGAAGACGCCTGCACTCGGTGGAAAGATCGAAGAAAAAAAACCTGTTAAATTAGACATAACTTGGGCTATTATGCCAGAATATGAAGAGGAGAATGATGAAAAAATGCAGGTACGAGTAGTAAGCATGTCTGAAAAAGAGAGTATGATGCTTAATCTTTCACAAATTCCTTGTTAAGAGTCCCAAAATGATCAAAGTTTGCTAATGACACATTCCTTCTTTATCAGAACACACATAATGCAGAATAATCCCGGGTATTTTGCCTTATAGACTAAATATACCGTTACTTATTCAGCGAATATGCGAAAATGTTGCAATTATATTGGGACAAGGTATGAAGACCAAGATGGTGCGGCCTTTTGTGTGTTCGCAGTCTTCTTTTGTTGTATAGAAGTTATTTGACCTTGTTTTCGCAACTTGGTCACATTGGTAGGAAGACTTAGAGGAACGCACCTTGTCCAGTGTTCATTGAATGCATAATCATTTCCAAAGTCGGACCGTGGATGTGGTACATTCCCAGACGTTTCGCCGGCATCGTCAATCAGTGCTGCCATTCTCCACACCAAGCTACGAACTCGTAAAAGAGACAAGTGAAGTCAATCCCTCGACAAACGTTCTTCCGAAAACGGTTAAACTGTCACTCCTCTTTCTGCCTGGCCTATCCATCCACTCTTTATCCTCTAATCCCACTGCCGCTCTATCACAATTTATCACTTATTTACATTCCACTCGTCAAAATGTGTGCCCTTTTGTGTCCTCATCACACTTGTTATTCACCCCTACCTCCTCTCTTTCGATCGGCTGATCCGACTCGGGCCTCCAATCTGGATACCCTCATTGTCTCGTAGATCCGTTCCTTCTCTTTCTGGTTGACCGATTTCACTCGGTTCCAGTCCCAGTGTGCATTTCACTCCAGACGCTTTTTCTCAAGGCCCTACAAGCACGCACACTGCCGCCTCACTGAGCAGAGCGCCTTAGCTCTGATTGCCATGCTTGCAGATATCAGGCCTTCCCTTCATGGGTCCTATCCTTCGTTAAACCCACATTATCTGAGCAAACTGTGGACACCTATCTCTGGTCACATGCAGCATCTCAAGTTGATTTCTAGTGCATTTTGGGCATAACGCCGAATTTCCATGATGGTTTGCTTATCCGTCGGCCCAGCTCCCTGACTGCCAGGCCCCCAAAGTTGTACTGGTTTATTCGAGATGGGCATCACTCACTGACAACGTCTTCGCTTTATTGCCGAAAACCCCTTCCCTCCAATTTTTTCACTCTCGATCCCTTTTCCTCCTGTTAGCGGTAGATCCTTGATCCAGGCGTCTTTAGCCTGTTATAATGATGGGACCGGAAATTGAGTAGTATCTCAGCAGAGGACTTCTTTCTGAACAATTTATTTTTGAGCGTCCCATTAGAGCGAATCACTTCAACGTTCCTCTACTTCCAGCATGAATTGAATTTTTCCATCAATTTGATTTACAAACTTCAGAAACTCTTCCATCTGACCAAAGTGCGAAGTAATCATTAAGGAACCGCATGAGCACTGCCGGTTGTAACGGTGTCATCTGGAAGCTATCTTCTATTTTGTTTTTGTATACTTTGGCCAAAAGGGGTGAGAGCGTCGATCCCATGGGAAGTCCAAAATTTATTCATAGAAGTTCCCGTTGAATGTAAAATGGGTTATCCTAATTTTCAAGTTGATTAGTCTTGTTAAGGACCACCTACCGATCCGTTGTGATTCCAGGATATCTTCCTCTCGGTCCAGCATTTTCAGCAGGGACGTTAGCGCATTTTATCCAAAGATATTTGTATGCATCGTTTCCACATGGAAGTTTACCAATAAGTCCGTGTACGTGCTTCTATGGCCTTGAGAAATCTCGCCTGGAGTGAAATGCACACAGGGACTGGAACCGAGTGAAATCGGTCAACCAGAAAGAGAAGTAACGTATCTACGGGACAATGGGGGGATCCGGATTGGAGGCCCGAGTCGGATCAGCCGATGGAAAGAGAAGAGATAGGGGTGAATAACAAATGTGATGAGGCCACACTAGATTTTCCACATAAAGACACACATTTTGACGAGTGGAATGTAAAAAAGTTAAAAGTTGTGATATGGCGTGAGATGGATGAGAGGGTAAAGAGTTGATAGATGGACCGGGACAGAAAAAGGAGTGATAGTGAAACCGTTTTCGGCAGTACGTTTGTCGAGGGATTGACTTCACTTGTCTCTTTGACGATTTCGAAGCTTGGTGCTGAGAATAGCAGCACTCACTGATGATGCCGGCGAAATGTCTGAGAATGAACCAAGTTCACGGTCTTATGCAGGGAATTATGATGACTACTATGGCAGACGACTTCGGACTAGGTGCGTTCTACCAAGTCGCCCTGACAACAAGACCAAGTTGCAGCAACGAGGTCAACCC